TAAAATTAATAATCATATATAATTTGACCACTAAGTCACCCGTTTTAATATCACATAAGCAGTGCACATTATGTACAGTGTAATATATGCATTACAGCTAAATATAATAAGTTAGTAACTAAAAATAACTAAATTAATGTAGAGTCCTCCGTCGTCGTCGCAGTTCAGCCAGCCCTCTCCGAAGAAATGCTTGATGGCCTCCGGTCATGCCGCGCCTTTGGTCGGACCCGACTCCTCTTACTTTTTTCTCTTATTGTAATTTCCTCCCCTTCACATTCTTCGTAATTTGTCCCAAAACTATTTCTCCGTTTCTCTTGGTGGAAAAAAAGGCAGCAAGGCAAGGTCGTCGAGTGAAACACAATGAAGTTAAGCGTCTTCTGGCACGAACGAGTAAAATGCAGGTACTAAGGTTTACGTTATTGAATTAATTCCATTTTAATATTTCTACCTTTTTTTTTCGTTACACTTGTTGGGACCATGCATTTCCCACTTGATCAAGCGTGAGCTTTGACAAGGATTCTAGATCTCAATACACTTTAGGAATGTAAATCGGCAAATTTTAAATATTTTTAGGACCAAATTTGATACCCTCTATAGGAACATCCCACATTTTGCAGATTAACTGAACATTGACAAACCCCTTAACGGCGAACAATCTCAGTAGCCGTAGCATCGGGCTATCTTAGTCTAACTCTCACCACTCAAAGAAGCTATTCTTGAATCAGGGCTTACAACCATTTTTGCTCCCCTCCTTTCCATGAGCCAAAATACTATCCGTAAGGGAGTTTCTAGTCCGCTCTCAGAGGATTCACTCCAATGCGTGTAGGAATTCGAGAGCAAAATCCTCCAGTTTCTTTGAGAAAGACGAATTTTGACGATCGTAGCCCGATTCGACTGGATCTCGTCTCCCACGCAATTTACCTTGTGTTGAGGATCAGCATACAACAATTTCTTATCGAGAGGCTGTGGTTCCACTACCACCTTTGTTGCTCGACAACAACTCCCTCGTTACGGGCACTTCAACTCACTTTATTGGTACCGCCCCTCCAGGCTGCATTCCTAAAGCCTTTTATATTTTCCTATGATATTTTTGTTGAGATTGAAGGAAAAAGGAAGTTTATTATTATTATTTTTCTACTTGATACGAGAAATCTAAAGCTATATTTATAGATAGCGGATTTAATCCTCCTACCTTAATTAAGACTAAAAGCTATCTGAACATCATAAGGAATAAAACTTGAACAAATAAGAGAAAAGGATTTGAACTAGCTGTTAAAAAATTCCTCATTATTCGAAGCATATATCTTTCTTAAATGCAGAGATATTTTCATATTCTTCCTTTTATCAAAAGAGTTGGGTGAATATCCACACTCCCCCTCAACTTGGGTTATAGATGTCAATCATTTCCCAACTAGGACTTCAAAATTTTAAAGTTAGTACATGACAATGATTTCATAAGGATATTTGCTATTTGAAGATTTGTAAGCATGTATACTACCTTCATTATTTCTTCTTGCCTCTCTTTGATGAATGACGGTTTATCTATAAAGTTTATGATAGCTTTGTTATCATAGATTTCTCAGCTGATATTCTCAACCCCTCAAGTAGCTTATTAAGTCATATGCCTTCACATATCCTGTAATAACTTGTCACAATCCTCCCCTTTACCCCAATTGGATCGATCAACATAAATTGAGTGAGATAAGGGGACCATATTTCATAATTGCCATTTACGTGCTTCTCAAATCCCAAATTGGGACTTAGGGCAATGAATCTAGTGTGCGAGTGAGAAAGAGAAGCGAATGAACGAGCAAGGCGATGGAGGCAGTATAACAAGGTATCACATTATATATTTATAGCAAAGATTTATTGAGTTTGTTGTAATAGTACTATTTTTAAGTTTATTATGAGAAAATATTATTAAAGAGAGTTAGATTAGTAAATGGATATTTGGGATTAATAATGAGGTATGAATTATGGAAATTTGTAATGTCTTTGGTTACGAGTAATGAGAATATGCCTTAATTGATTAGTCTGAATTGTTAATGTTTGTAATGTATTGATTGTATGACTGATCAGGACTCTTTTGAATCTAGGATTTGTGGAGCACCATGTGTCGGAGTGAGAGATTAGTGCATGATTGACAAGTTAGGATACTTGTGGTCTTTGTTTGGTAAATGACTCTTTAAGAAAAAAATGAAGTTAAGTGTTGTAGAAATGAGGATGCTCAGGTGGATGAGTGGCTTTACACCTAGAGACATAATATGAAATAAGTATATACGTGAAAAGGTTGGAGTAGCTCTAGTGGCAGATAAGATTACAGAGAGTCGTCTTAGATGGTTTGGTCACATAAAGCGTTGGCCTTTTGATGACTCGGTTAAGAGAGTAGTTGATGCCGGAGCTTCTCCTCAAGTCTCCAAGAACACCTGCAAGAGCAAAAGAACAGAGAAAAAGAGGGTTTGCACAGATGCAAAGAAACAGTGATCGAAATTCTATTAGTTTTTCTATATGTAACAGCATCAGCTAAGGTCCTTTTAACTCAACCCAGCCTTACTCTCAAACGGAATAAAGGTAGAAAAAGGTGTACTACGGCAGCATAACTAATTGAAGTAAAAAGAGTAGTGGAGCACACGCCCACTAACTAACTATGCAGCAAATGAAATAACTAATAATAATAAAAGCTAAATTTACGAAATAGGTAGAACTCATCTGGCAGCTCCCAAACAGGTGTCAGCAGGTCCAAACAGGTTTTTGGTAGCTCCCAACTTGGTATGCACCGCATCATTCGCCTCCGCTTTCAAAAGAATCCGTGTCAACAGATTCGACGCTGGCAACACCATCATCAGGAGGATTGTAAGAATATAAGTTAGCAACATTGAAGGTGTGTGACGTATTGAAGTCCGCGGGCAAATCGACAACATAAGCGTTGTCATTGATTCTTTTACTAATAGAGAAAGGACCCCATTTCTTTTTTGTAAGTTTTGAGTAGTTGCCTGGTGGTAGTCTTTCTCGTCGCAAACGCACATAAACCAAATCTCCTGGTTGAAAAATTTTCTCCTTACGATGAGCATCCGCAGCCATTTTATATTTGCTGTTTGAATCTTGGAGTTTTTCCCGCACTTCCGATAAAAGTTGAGTAAACTGATCAGCTAAGGTGTTTGCGGCTTTGTTTTGGGTCTTTGGCAGGACTGCAACATCAAGTATTGTATTTGGCATCTTAGTGTAAACAACGTTAAAAGGGCACATACCAGTTGACCGATTGGTCATAGAATTGAATGCAAATTCTGCGTGTGCTAACACTTCGTCCCACAACGTCGAATGCTCTTGAACCAAGCAGCGAAGAAGATTGCCAAGCGTTCTGTTAACGACTTCCGTCTGCCCATCCGTTTGAGGATGATATGAGGAACTCAGTTGAATTTGTGTATTCAGCTTTTTCCACAACTCCCGCCAGAAATGGCTTATAAACTTCACATCTCTATCGGATGTGAGACTACGCGGTATGCCATGAAGACGAACGACTTCTTTGAAGAATAATTTGGCTATATTCAGAGCATCAAATGTTTTTTGCAGGCGACAAAATGTGCCATTTTGGAGAAACGATCTACCACTACCATGATCGAATCATTACCACGTTTTGTCCTGGGCAATCCCAAAATAAAATCTAGACTTAAGTCTTCCCAAATAGTTTCGGGCACCGGTAATGGAAGATACAATCCGGCGTTCTTTCCACCACCTTTGTATCCTTGACAAATCGCACAGCGCTGGATATATTTGGTGACATATTTTCTAAGATATGGCCAGAAGAAACATTTCTGTAGTTGCGCAATGGTGTTGTCACGGCCTGCGTGTGCAGATAATCCCTCATCGTGAGCTTCTTGGATCAGCCTTTGTCTCCATGATGACTGCGGTACACAAAGCAGGTTATCTTTAAAAAGGAAACCTTGTTGTAACGAATACTCACTTACAGGTTCGTGATTGATGCATTTAGTCCACATGTCTTGAAAAAAATCATCTGTTGCATACAATTCCTGTAGGCCAATCAAACCGTTAAATTCAGTTTGTAACTTGGTTAAGATTGCGATTCTCCGACTCAGTGCATCTGCCACTCGATTTTGCGAGCCGCTTTTATGTTTTAAAACAAAAGTAAATTTCTGTAAGAAGATGATCCAGCGGGCATGCATACGATTGATATTCTTTTGGGAATTTATATACTGCAAAGCTTTATGATCACTACTCAGAACAAAATCCTGATGCAGTAAATAATGTTCCCACTGTTTTAAAGCGCGAACCACGGCATATAATTCCTGTTCATATACTGTCCATTTCTTTCTTGCGGGCTCAACTTTTCACTAAAAAACTCCACAGGACGGTTGTTCTGGGACAATACCGCCCCAATGCCAACAATTGAAGCATCTGTGTCTACCGTGAACGGCTGGTCAAAATTAGGTAAAGATAATACAGGAGTTGTGGAGAGTGCGTCCTTGATGTTATCGAAGCTCCTTTGCTGTTCTTCTGCCCAGGAGAATTGTGATTTCTTTAAAATGTCAGTGATTGGTGCCATCACAACACTGAACCCCTTAATAAATCGGCGGTAAAAATTTGCCAGCCCATGAAAACTACGTACATCGAACATAGATTGTGGAGTTGGCCAATCCACAATGGCAGCCACTTTTCAAGGATCTACCATAATCCCGTCTGCCGAAATGAGGAAACCCAGAAATGCCACCTGTAACAGAGCAAATGTACATTTGGGTAAATTGAGATATAATTTATTTTGTCTCAGGATTTCAAAAATGGCTGTCAAGTGTTTAATGTGATCTTCCATGTTGTAGCTGAATACTAATATGTCATCGAAATACACTACACAGCAGCGATTTAAAACCGGTTTTAACACTTCGTTCATTAAACACATGAAGGTTGCCGGCGCATTACACAAACCGAATGGCATTACTCTCCATTCATATAGGCCTTGACGAGTCTTGAAAGCGGTCTTCCATTCATCACCAGGTCGCACTCTGATTTGGTGATATCCGCAAATCAAGTTTAGAAAACACTTGAGCCCCGGACAAATTGTCTAGCATGTCTTCCATCCTCGGCATGGGAAAACGGAATTTGACTGTGATCTTGTTTATGGAACGGCTATCCATACATATCCTCCAACTGCCGTCTTTCTTGGGTACTAACAGTGCTGGTACGGCGCACGAATTAAGGCTGGGTTGGATCAACTGTTTATCCAGCATCTCATCGACAATTTGCTGCAGCACGTTGTGCTCATTCGAACTCAACTTATAATGAGGTAGATTTGGCAGATTTGCTCCAGGCACTAATTCAATTTGATGCTGGATGGCTCTCAATGGGGGAAGACCCACAGGCAGTTCTGGCGGAGCAACATCTGCGAATTGCTGTAACAAGGATTTCACCGCTTCAGGCAAGGAATGAGCTTCTGGGCTGCTGGTTTGTTCTTTAACCAACAAGGCCATGATACATGATGAATCTTTCCATTCATTAAGCAGAGATTTTCCTGAAACGGCCACAAGTGAAGCTTTAGAATTAACATTGTTGGCATCTTGATCTGGCACCCGGGGCAGCAACCGTAACCTTTTGCCTTTCCATTCAAAGGAATATGTATTAGCTCGACCATCAAAAATCGCTCCCACATCATATTGCCAAGGTCGCCCCAAAATCAAATGGCACACGTCCATATCTATGACGTCGCACAAGACTTCACTAGCATAGTGCTTGCCGATGGAGAAAGGAACTTTGCACATGTTAGTTACCAACATTTCTATACCCTTCTTTACCCAACTTATTCTATAAGGGTTCGGGCTCTTTGTGTTTTTTAATTGTAAAGATTGCACAACACCACGAGAAACAACATTCTCCGTGCATCCACTATCAATTAGCACATCACACACCTTACCCTTGATAGTGCATTTAGATTTGAAAAGAGCATTCCTCTGAGTCTTAGCTGGTCGTCGGGGTGCCAAAAGCAGATGTTGAAGGACGCATAACAGCGGTTCTCCTTCATCTCCAGCTACATCTTCCGTTAGTTCTTCAGCTGTCTCAGATTCATTACCTTCTTCTTCATCATTTCACCTTCTAGCAACTGCAATTGCGCACGGGTGGGGCATTCATTAGACTTGTGGCCCGGCTGAAAACAACAGAAACATTTGAAATTGCCAGGTTTAGCATATGGGTTTTCTTTCATGGGTGCTTTGCCTTTCAGATTGCCCCTCTCAAACTGCTTCTGTCCCGGCGTTGCTGGTTGTCCGGAGGATACTGAGCTTGGCATTGGCTTACTGATTTGAGTCGGGTGTGGTGTTGCGTTTCTGTTAGCTTCAGCTGGAGGATTCCAATTCCTTCGGTTCGGCCGGTTTTGAGTGTGCCTTTTGGATTGTATCTCAATTTTGAGAGCATAGTTTACCGCTTGTGAAAGAGACCAAACCGAATTGAGTTCGAGTCTCTCCTGAATGGATTCCTTCAACCCACCAATATATCTTGCAACCAGTTGATTTTCAGATTCTTGAAGATTGTTTCGGGCACTTAACTGATAAAACTCCTCTGTATACTCGTTCACCGTCTTGCTGCCTTGTGAACAATGCTGATACTGAATATACAACATCAGCTCCTAATCTGTCGGTAAAAAATGCCCGCGAAGCATTTGTTTCATACGAACCCAGCTCCGGACAGCTCCTCTTCCTTCACGTCTCCGGGATTGAACTACTTGTTGCCACCACGCACTCATGCCGCCCCTTAATCTGCAGGCGACATACTTCACCTGTCGTTCCGGCTCAACTTCCATATACTCGAAAAACGATTCAACCGACCTTTCCCAATCGAGATAATCCTCGATATGCAATCCACCATCAAAAAATGGTATGTCTAATTTGATTCGAAAATCACCGTGAGTCCTGTCTCTGTCGGTTTGACGGCGTCTCCGATTCGGAATGATCTCGCCTTCCGAATCCGACTGCTCCACTGATCGCCCAAGATTTATCTCCTCTTCGGAATCTGTCGATTCCAAAACCCGCGTATTACGTTGACAATCTCGACCTGCCACGAACCCACGTCTCGTCGCCGGCAAATTCACCGGTCCGGGTGTACGAGCGGCTTGGTTCCTGTCGAGACGAGCATTGATCAACCTTAACTCCCGGCCTAATTCCCCAAAGAGATGGTGCATATCCGCCGAAATTTCTTCCGTTCTCCTAACGAGATTATTATGTTCGGCCCACAGGCCATCTAGGCTGCGTTCTTCACAGGCGGCCACCCGGTTGCTTCCTTCTGCCATCCTCGCTCTGATACCAGAATGATGCCGGAGCTTCTCCTCAAGTCTCCAAGAACACCTGCAAGAGCAAAAGAACAGAGGAAAAGAGGGTTTGCACAGATGCAATGAAACAGTGATCGAAATTCTATTAGTTTTTCTATATGTAACAGCATCGGCTAAGGTCCTTTTAACTCAACCCAGCCTTACTCTTAAACGGAATAAAGGTAGAAAAAGGTTTACTATGGCAGCATAACTAATTGAAGTAAAAAGAGTAGTGGAGCACACGCCCACTAACTAACTATGCAGCAAATGAAATAACTAATAATAATAAAAGCTAAATTTACGAAATAGGTAGAACTCATCTGGCAGCTCCCAAACAGGTGTCAGCAGGTCCAAAGAGGTTTCTGGTAGCTCCCAACTTGGTATGCACCGCATCAGTAGTTGTATTAGATATGACTTATGCTAAGAAATATAGAGGTATACTTAAAAAGATTTAGCTAGAAAGTATTAGAAAAGACATTTTTATTAGATTTAAATGAAAATTTACTCTTAATAGGATACAATGGAGAAAAAGATTCATGCAGTCGACCCTACACAGTGGTATAAATGCTTGATGTTGTTGTATTATTTAAGGGGATCCTTTATTGCTAGGAGTATATTATTAACTACTTTAATTATTATTATTATATTTGAAATTAATTTTATTTACTCATAGTAACTCATGTAGCACTATTATTGCTAGAATGTCAGGTTTCAAGCCTGAATGAGAAAAGTAGAGGGTTGCGTTAAGTAGTCGATAGTCAACATAAAGTTTGTCAAATAATCATGACATGAATCTTTTAATATATTTTGTATTAATGTTAAGGCATTCTCTAGAAGTGATGTGTTTATGACTTGCATAAAGTGAGAAGTGCGCAATGGCTACTGCAGCGATGCCTGGGTATAGTTTTAAATAAGCAAGGGTTTTCATATCATGGACAGAAAAGCTGTCCATAAAACTAGGATTAGGATAACAACTTTAAATATAGATTCTTTTATAGGAAAATTAATAGAAATAATTAATATTATGATTTATTGGAAGATAAATATTCTATGCATTTAGAAAAGTAAATGAGTTAGAGATAAGACTAAGGAGATTGATAGTTTAGAATTTAAACTATGATATTTGGTTATAAGTTGTGCTAGAAATAGTGTATTTGTGATTACAGATAAGTTTGAAGGATAATGTTATAGAAATTAATAGAATTGAAGATAGAATTATCACTTAAATATTATAATTGATGCAATATTATTAGCATTATAAGTGCTTATGCTCAAGTAGGTTTAAATATATGCTCAAAATTAAAATTTTAGAATGACCTAGAAGAATTAATACAAAATATATCTCTTGAAGAAATAATTTTTATTGGAGGAGATTCAAATAGACATGTTGGTAGGGAAGTAGAAAATTTTAAGAGCATTTATGGTGGCTATGAGTTTGGAGTGACTAATGAAGTTGATAAGACCATATTAGATTTTGCTCTAATTTATGATTTTGTAATTGATAATATTTTATTTAAGAAAAAAAGAGGAGCACCTCATCACTTGTAAGAAATAAATATAATAAAACTCAAATTGATTATTTTCTTATAAGAAAAATATACCATTTAAATTGCAAAGATTATAAAGTTATTATGAGTGAAAGTTTATGTACCTAACATTGCTTATTAATTTTAGACTTTAAGATAAAAGAGTGAAATATGAAAATGAAGTTAAATGTTGTCTTAAAATTAGATTGGGGCATTTAAATAATACTAATAAAAATATTTTTGAGAATAAGATTCAACATTTTAATAATTTGACTATACATGAGAAAGTTAATATTATGTGAAAAAATTAATGATATTTATAATGTTGCAAATGATGTGAAATACAACAACAACAACAACAACGTGCTTATGCTCCTCAAGTAGGAAAGGTCACTACATCAAGCCTTTATCCCACTACGTGGGGTCGGTTACATGAATCCTTTTTCTCCATTGTGTCCTATTAAAATCAAATTCTCATTTAAATCTAATGAAGAAAGGTCATTCCTAATATTTTCTAACCAAGTCTTTTTAGGTCTACCCGTACCTTTCTTAACACAAGTCAAATCTAATACCTCTACTCTCCTAACCGGATCATCGGAAGGCCGCTTTTTTATGTGACCAAACCATCTAAGGCGACTCTCTCTAATCTTATCTTCTACTGGAGCTACTCCAATCTTTTCACGTATATGCTCATTTCGTATCCTATCTCTAAGGGTAAAGCCCCTCATCCACCTGAGCATCCTCCTCTCTGCCACACTCAACTTAGTATTATGCTTCTCTTTTAATGGCCAACATTCAGCACCATAAAGAATTGCAGGCCTCACTATCATCTTATAGAATTTTCCCTTAAGTTTGAGGGGTACATTTCTATCACATAACAAGCCCGATGCATTCCTCCACTTCAACCATCCAACTGATGTGAAATCAAAAGGAAGATTTTCTAATAATAAAAATGATTGGTAGTAGAATCAAAATGTTAAAAAAATGTAAAAAATAAGAAACTTTGTTATAAAAGTGGGTTTGAATATAAAAGCTTGAAAAATTGGAAAAGATATAAATGGTCATGTAAGAAATTTAAGAAATAATTATGCGATATAAAGAATTGAATATTTAATGATTTATATAATTGATTAGATATTAAGGAAGGTGAAATATGTTTGTAGAAGTTAGCTAAATAAAGAGTAAGAGAAATACAGATTTAATTCACATGAAGTATATTAAGGATGAAGATAAAAAAAATTATTAGAAGATGATATTTAACATAAGTGGATGAGATATTTCAATAAGATTTTTAATGAAGATTATGAGAATAAGATTAACTTTAGTAATCAAACTTGATGATATTTAAATAGAAGTGTGGAAATGCATTGAGATGAAGGAATTTCTTAGCTTACAAAACTTTTCAATATTATTTTGAAGACTAAACAGATGTTAGAAATAGGGGTGCCAAAATGGGTTTTCGGGTTGGGTTCGGGTGCAACCTGAAACTGACCCTCCTTCAATTGATCCAACCGAACCCGACCTGATTAGACAAATGAGTCAAAAATTCAGACATTGACCCAACCTTCTAGGTTACTAGGTTGGCTTGACTTGATTGACTAGGTTACTAGGTTGACCCGACCCGACTTGCTAACCTGCAAGTATGAGCAACAGGCTAGCGTTGAGCCTGGGCGGCGGTGCGGTCGGGACTGTGGGGTTACTGGTAAGTGAGGGACCGCACTGTAATCGCCCATATTTTGACCCAGAAAAATAATTTTTTAAGAAGTTATTATAAGTTAAAATCATAAACCTTCTTGGTCATAAGGTAGATATTATTGTATTTTACTTATACCAAATTTTTCATAATTTTTGGGCATTGGTGAAAATCTTTAAGAACTTGATACCTGTCGGTACAAGTGGGGGGTATTTTGGGACCGCTAGGTATCCATTTTGTAAAATAATATTATCAATATTTTTCAAATAAATTGAGCTATCTTATGAATATATTTTTTTATAATTTTTAAAACCCCAAAAGAATTTATATGAATTTGATATTAAAAAATTAATTAAATTATGTTATTACATTAATATTTTATTATTAGTTTATTATAAATATCTCTAATCACTAACAAAATCTATTAAAAGCTTTTTATTCCTATTCATTTGACTAATAGAGAAATTGAAAACAAAAATAGAAAGGAAAGAGAAACCTAGGTTTGAAGGTCACGAAGTGATATTTGACAGTTGTTTTTGTTGGAAGATTTGCTCGTCTCGTTGTAAGGAACCTTTAACCTATTTTTGATTTCAATAATTTTTGTTTTTGTATTTTTTCTATCAAATTTGTATTTTTGTTATTGAAAAATGAGGATAATTTTGTATTTATAAAACTTTTACCGCATAATTTTTATATATTATAGAGATCGAGATTATAAAAATTTTGAGTATTTATTTGAAATTTTTTGTTAGATTATTTTTAAAAAACAACAATTTTTGCATACTCTCAAATTTATTTTAACATCTAAAAATAATGTTTCAATTCATTTAAAGTTTCAGAATAATGTTTAACACAATCTATACTAATTTGGTTAATTTCTAAAAATTTGAATTTTTGCTCAGTATAATTTTTGTTGCCTACTGTCAGGATATTTTGACACTTTCTGAATTAAGCTCAATTATATTTTCTTTATTACAATGCATTGAAAATGAATGTGTGTATGTGATTGAGTAATAGCTGGTCGCTATTACTGCTATAGTACTGTGATAATAAGGTATGTGTGAGGGAAAACAAGTAAAGATAGATTATTTACTGACGTTAGCTGGAGACTGATTGATCTGTATAGGATAAAGGGCTGAAGAGCTTTCCTTTAAATATATGGTTGGGTGTTATCTTTTACCGGTTCACGTGATTACTGTGCAGACGATTAAATAGTGACGACTTTATTTGCTGAGCCAATGGTTACTAATACTGACACTAAAAAAATACCACTATAGTCAAGACATTTACTTGTTTAATATGATTATTAGAATGCATGCTATTGAATTACTTCCACTGTATGTCTTTACTTTTGCTTTCACCCATAATGCTGATGTTACTACTATTCTATTGTTATTAATATGCTGATCATGTGATATATATTGAGCACGTGCACTGGACACTAATAGTGAGTTGACACAAATATGATGATATTTTTGACCATGTGATACACAGATATAATTATTTTTATATGATTTTATTGCATTGATATGATTTTGACAGTCTTTACCGATGTTTTGATTTGATGCTTTATACGATTTCTCTACTGATTGTAGTATTGATATGACGATTTTTTAGTGATTTGACACTAGTACTGATTTACCGATTTCTCTATTGTATTGCCCTATGATCATGAATTCTACTGTTATGATTTGACTGCTAACATGCATATTGCTTCTTTGCCTTGTTTTGAGTTTAGTTATAGGATTTTTGGGCTTGTGAGCTCATTATATGTGGTTAAATATTTTCATGTCAGGGCAGAGGATCAGGAGTGTGAGCTTGAGCAGAATTTATTAGGTTCTGTTTCTTTTTTTTAGCTATTCTTTTATGCTCGGGACAAAGTAGTGTGGTACGATTGTATAGACCATGAGTA